ACGGTTAAAGTCCGATATCCGGTCAGGGGCCGTTCCTGGCGAGCGTGCAGTGCGTGCACGCACGTAGGCGCAACATTTTGGGGGCGCAAAATCGAAGTGTCAATTGTCAATCAGTACTTTGTAACAAAAAACCGATACGCTTTCTTGTTAATAAACAAATACTTAAACATACATCATAGGATAAAGTTAGCTTAGCGTCTTTTTTGCGTTGGCCGCACTGAATAAACAAGACTAGGGCAATCTGTCGGCAACACATTGATCTCATCTATTTATTTTTCATTTTATTCATTTTATGGAAAGCACTGTTCATTAAAATGTTGTATCCTATGTTATAGGGCTTGTTTCTCTCTACAATTTTCTGTCTCACAATATACTGTTTGTGTCGCGGAAGGGATCATGGTTTCATAGTTGTCGATTTTCGAAAGAAATCAGTACATGTATATTATTTCGTATATTTTTCATTTTATTGATTTTATGGAAAGCACTGTTTGTTAAAATGTTGTATCCTATGTTATAGGGCTTGTTTCTCTCTACAATTTTCTGTCTCACAATATACCGTTTGTGTCGGGGAAGGGATCATAGTTTCATAGTTGTCGATTTTCGAAAGAAATCAGTACATGTATATGTATATTATTTCGTATATTTTTCATTTTATTGATTTTATGGAAAGCACTGTTCATTAAAATGTTGTATCCTATGTTATAGGGCTTGTTTCTCTCTACAATTTTCTGTCTCACAATATACTGTTTGTGTCGCGGAAGGGATCATAGTTTCATAGTTGTCGATTTTCGAAAGAAATCAGTACATGTATATTATTTCGTATATTTTTCATTTTATTGATTTTATGGAAAGCACTGTTTGTTAAAATGTTGTATCCTATGTTATAGGGCTTGTTTCTCTCTACAATTTTCTGTCTCACAATATACCGTTTGTGTCGGGGAAGGGATCATAGTTTCATAGTTGTCGATTTTCGAAAGAAATCAGTACATGTATATGTATATTATTTCGTATATTTTTCATTTTATTGATTTTATGGAAAGCACTGTTCATTAAAATGTTGTATCCTATGTTATAGGGCTTGTTTCTCTCTACAATTTCCTGTCTCACAATGTACCGTTTGTGTCCGAGAAGGGTTCATAGTTTCATAGTTGTCGATTTTCGAAAGAAATCAGTACATGCATATTATTTTCGATTTTTAGTTTATTGTTTTTATGTATTTCATATAAAATGAGTCAGTTTTTTTTCTTTAGGGTACTATTTTTGTTACTAAATATTTTTGTGGTTTTGTTTGTTTTCTTTATTTAATAAATGTTTTTATACTTTAATTAGAATAGTTTTTTTACATTTTCAATTACATATTGCTCGTTTGTCGCAGAATATAAATTCTTTAACTTTTTGAGATTAAGATTAAGATATATAATTGATTTAAATATAAAAAGGGCGCACAAAAGAATGCTGCAAGTAGGCGCCAGATACCCCAGGAACGGGCCTGTGTCCGGTTAATGTCGACATTAACATGTTAATGTTTGGGTTAGGTTATGTTTTTGGTTATTTTGTTGTGTGTTATTCTCGAGATTAACCGGGTAATGTCGACATTAACCGGATATCGGACCTTAACCGTAACATAACATTAGGGTTTCCGTACAAATTTTTGAGCTATGGTCTATTTTAAAATCGGGATTTTGTCCAAAAATAAATTATGAATTTATTTATACAGGGTTTGTCTGACGAGAGTATACTTGACAGTGAGAGTTGTTGCCTGTCATTTTAATGCACATGTAAATTGTTTTTTCTGTCATTTTTTGAATGTCTGTTTGACGTTAGTCTTCCCTGACCCGTTGGAGAGACAGACTTTAAAAAGCAAATTAATGACAGTTGAAAAAGTGTTAAGTATACTCTTTTGTTTTGGAGCATCCTTTTTTAATAGAATAGAAAAATAGAAAAAAAGGGAATTTTGTTATTTACTAGGTACACACTTTTTTTTTTGTTTGGCATTATTAAAGGCTGAAATTTATTGGTAAAATTTAATATTGCACGTTATACAAAGTGGCGCACCTCATTCGACTCGTTTAAATATTCCGAAACGGAAAGAAGTAGAAACAAAATATTTTATGGCTATATGTGGAAAGGTAGTGTGCATAATTTAAAATCATTTTAAAATGTACAAGGTGTGTCACGACTAAGATCCATACCAAAGTTATATTTTTTCTTATGGAACACCCGGTATTTTATTTCATTTTGGGATTCTTGGACATCAAATCAGGCATTTATTATTAAGGTTAAATATCTTTAAAACCTTTGGTTTTTGAGATATTTAGATATGCATGCTATAATAAAAAAATTTGTCAACACCCTGTACAGGGTGGGTCAAATTCGACGCTTTTAAATGGAAACACCCTTTTCTATAGGAGATAGACGAAAACTAATATCGGTGTCTGGAGCTCAACTCTTTTGTCAAAAACATGATGGTGAAAACCGCATATCGATATCTGTTACCGTTTCGGAGTTACGGGGTGTTTTTCAAAAATATGCATTTTTAACAAATCGTTGTAACTTTTTTGCTATGGAAAATTTTGTATTTTTATGAAAACATTTCCAAAGCACCTTTTTACGTAGAATTTAATGGTTTAAGTATAATTTTTTTTTAAATTAATAATTTAAAAATTATCAACAGAAAATTTGATTTTTTATATGGGACACCCTATATATTTTTAATTTATTGAAAATAATTTAAAACTACCTTTCCAAAAATATGAGACACTTGATATTTTACTCGATTCCTCTTCGAGATATAGAGTATATAAAAATTTGCCCGCTTTAAATAAGTAGGCTTTCAACGGCATCGGCTGTAATGCAAAAAAAAATTCTAGCTGTGAGCATCAGTTAAAACGAAAATAATATTTGCGATGAGAGATGCAGAATTTTTTAACAATTTAAAATATATTTAACCAAAATCAACACAATTAAACTATATCTAATAACAATAAAAATAAATAGCAAACCAAGACATGAGATTTTGCTACAGGTGTTCGACATATCAACCCTCTTCTGTTATTGACAGACGGGGCAGTTTTTGAACATTTCTCGCGGAATCCATTAACTCAGTGGGGGTGAAAGATACCCTCTCATAACTGCTAAGTATTTCTAATTCTTGTCTAGATTACACGGAACAATAAGGAACCTTTATTCTTCGGCAAATATATCGATAGGATTAGATCCGTGGGCACTAAGACAGGCGGCCTCGACGGCCAACGGCTGGGATCTTGGTTAGCTATTCATTTATTCTTGAAATTAGCTGCAAAAAATTGCTGATAACTTCAGCGTTCAGAGGCTTGCTGGAAAAATATGTTTTCGAGTTCCATTAAGGGCATATCACCAATAAGGGGTCCAAAGCCTACTAGTTAAAAGTGGCGAACTTTTAAAAATTCTGTATTTCGAAGGGGATTATAACAAAATATCAAGTATGCTATATTTTTGGAAAGGTAATTTAAAATGCTTTTCAGTTAATTAAAAATATAGAGGGTGTCCCAAATAAAAAATCAATTTTTCTGTTGATATCTCTTAAATTATTAATTTTAAAATAAATATACTTGAACCATTAAATTCTATGTAAAAATGTGCTTTGGAAATGTTTTCATAGAAATACAAAATTTTCCATAGTAAAAAAGTTACAGCGATTTGTTAAAAATGCACTTTTTTGAAAAACACCTCGTAACTCCGAAACGGTAACAGATATTTATGTGCGGTTTTCACCATCATGTTTTTGATAAAAATTGAGCTCCAGACGCCTATACAAGTTTTCGTCTATCTCCTATAGAAAAGGGTGTTTCCATTTAAAAGCGTCGAATTTGACCCACCCTGTACATTACTTTTCAGAATTAATTCTTGTACTGACTTTTAAGCCAAAGAAATAAACTTTACTTAAAAATGTCATTGCTTCCTTAAATGTATACAGTGCGATATCAAAAATTGCTTGTCTATTTTAACTATTTATTTTACTTAAAAATTTCAAGTTATTTCAAATGCAACACTCTGTATTTTTTAAAACGGGAAGCAAATTTAAATGCTCTTTCAAGCTATATTAGGGTTTCCTATACCTATTTGTGTGAGAATATGAATAAAGAGCGATTTTTTAATAAAATGGCAACCATGCAAGAGTGCTGGTATCGTCATGGCAATTTTCTAGTGACAATTATGTAGTAACTATTTTCAAAACAGAAATGAGTTTATAGGCGTTATTTAAATTTATAGCAGTTTACTTTTATTTTATGTACCTACAATAGTTTAATAAATAAGTTTTATTATTTTAACGTTTCATAACTTTGTTACATTTTACGATGATTTGTTAATATATTGGATTTTCTATAAAAGAGCCAATTACGGAAAATTTATTTTTTCGTTTCCAGCAACAGGTTTCTGCCTAATAGGTTTTTCATAAACCACACTATCAGCTTTGCGAAATAGGAAAAGTAGTTTTTCAAAGTATCGCTTAACAGGAAGATGCGTATTTGGATATCTTTGAGCATAAAAATTAACCCATCAGGCCAACAAGCGATTTTCCTCACAAAATAAAATCACTAGTAACATATCTAGTCCTTCCGCCGACAGATATTGCTCCATTTTTCTTGATAAAATAATAAATACTTACGTATTAAACTATTGTAGGTTGTAGGTACATTAAATAAAAGTAAACTGTTAAAAAATTAAATTATTATAAAAGAAAAAATTGACCAGATAGATAAGGGTACTTTCGAACAATGTCGGTTTGCTAGATATGTGACATCGTAATGATTCAAATATTCAACAAAGTTAAATTGTTTTTAAGGTAAGATTACCCGAAATTTTTTCTAATTCCGGTCGAACCAACCCGGACATGTCCCGTAACTTCGGACATCATAATATGGAAACCTTATCTAAATCTACTATTTTTCTCCATTCATTTTCTCTGCCCGTATATCTCTAGATAAATCTACATGGCCGTTACCTAGAAATGAGGAAACCTCTCCTCGGACATCACACTAATAAACTTGCGATTTTTATTTGAAAAACTATGCGATTTAATTCGTACCATCGTACCAGTGATAGTACCCAAGATGGAAAGTAATAGGGTTCGTGATATCGGGGCCCTGCTCTTCTGTACGCGGAAAGAATTGCCCTGTCGAGATAACCGTAATACTCACTTAATTTATATCTAGGGTGATTTTTTCTACTGGTACCGCCTATAAAAGATGAGCAGCTTTGGGGATAGGCAGTCAGTGTACTTCGTACATCCGCCGATCGACCAAGTACTAGCAAGATGTTCTTCTCTGGGGTAAGAAATGGTTGTTTTACTATTAAAATCTAATTCACAAAAATATTACTTTACCCTTAAATTTAGTATTGTTTCATTTGCAATTAATGTACAGGGTGTTAATCAAATTAGAGCCTCATTACGGTGGAATATAGAATATATGGGAGGGGGGGGGGTCATCACCGCGACCTTAGAGATCTGTTGTGTATTGTGTCCCCCTTTCTTGAGCTATAACTCATCATACTGTCTCAGGGCTTTGACAAAAGCCAGTATCTGAGATGGTTTTTCAGAGGTTATTTCTCCGACATCAGTCGTACCAAAATTTATGGTACGAATGGTTGTCGTCTCGGCGCACTCAGTAATGGGGTGTTCTGGTGTTTCTCCATTTTCCCTACAGAATCTCCATAGGCGGTTGTTTCTTAGCTTCAATATACCGAGGTGTCCATTGAGAAGTTGTCCCTTTCCCAAACAGTTTCCTTCTCTAGACCCAATTTAAACCCAAAATTAACCACTTTGAAGTCGATACCGGGTTCTATACTGTAGCACATTCTTGCAAATGCAAGAAAGGCTATCAACACAGTTGTTAATGCAGGAGGACTGTGAACAACAACATTATAAATTTAAATGCTCTATGAATGTAATATTATACAGGGTGGTCCGAACTGTATTCCGGAAACTTCAGTAGCATATTCTGCACATAAAAATAAGTAAAAAAATTCGTATAAATGTATGTTCGAAAATGCTTAGTTTCGGAGATACAGGGTGTAGAAGTTTCATTTTCATTTCGATTTTTTTCAAATAATGTTTGAAGTAACCTCAATATTTTGATTAAAATTGGTGTCTAGAAGTTTTTTGATATGAGAAAATTGATTTTGATGTCAATATGACTCCTACTTACAGAGGGCGCCACATACATATTTTTAACTGGTTTGAAGAGTAATAACTTTTCGCCCGTGCCTGTATAAACGTATACTCAGTAAAAAAATATACATTTACGACGTTTTTTACGTAAAAAAAGTCTCTTGGTAAAAATCGCTATGGGTAATGGTTCTATTGAATCGAAATTATCAATACCTGTCATCATTGACATAAATTATTATATATAAACATGTTAACTAAATAGTTAACGAAATCATAAATTTGAAATATTTTTGTGCCAAAAGTTCAACAGAAACTGTTTTATCGTCATTTTTTCGAAGAAAAATTTATTATTAATTTAAAAAAAACAAAAAGTTCCCAAATTTATCAATTCAGTCAAATAAAATTATTTACCCAAGACGTTTATTTTTTGTCAATAATGACATGTATTGACTATTTCCATTCTAAATATCTGGAAAACGGTTGCTCGGGGCGATTTTTACCAAGAGACATTTTTTACGTAGAAAATCACGGAAATGTATATTTTTTCACTCAGTAGTTTTATACAGGTACGGACGAAAAGTTATTACTCTTCAAAACAGTTAATACACATGTAGGTGGCGCCCCCTACAAATAGGAGTTATATTGATATCAAAATCAAATTTCTCATGTCAAAAAACTCCTAGTCACCAATTTTCATACAAATATTGACGTTACTTATTAAATTATTTAGAAAAAATTGAAATAAAAAATGAAACTTCTACACCCTGTATCTCTGAAACTAAGCAATTTAGGACATACATTTATACGAACTTTTTTACTTATTTTTATCAGCAGAATATGCTGCCGAAGTTTCCAGAATACAATTCGGACCACCCTGTATAATAGGTAACAGTAGTCTTTTTCAAGTTTTTTTGTTGCAATCTACGTTTTTTATAAATGAATTTTTATACTATATATACTAATATATTTTTTGGAAAAAGGCTGTATTTTTTCCAAAAAATCGATTTTGAAGCGACAGCTCAAAATACCCTAATCTTTAACCAGCGCTAGAGCCTAATCGGATTATCTGTGGAAAAAAATATAAAGGACTGAATTTGTAGAAGGTTTTGTCCAGTTTTATTTTGTACAGAAGTATTATTTCTGAAAAATGGACATTTTTGGAGTTAAAAAACCGTAAAAAGTGCAATTTTTCGTAAAAAGTGCAATTTTTTTGTATTTTTTTTTCAATGTTCCGTCACGAAATTTTGTTAGCAAACATCAGATTCGGATTTAGCGTCTCAAAAAACATAAATAACAAAATAAATCAAAACTGCCCCAAAACTTTCTTCAAAAAAATACAATTTGACAAGACTAACACAATTTCATTTTAATACAAACTGTTGTTCTCCTTGCAGCCACCGCGTCGTATAAGAGGTGCCACCTGAGATTATTTTGAACATCCCGGAGTATCTAACTAAAATATCTTTACACATATTTTTTTCTTTATCTCCACTCAACTTTATTACCAAATTTGAGGACACAACTTAAGAAATATTAGCGTCACTGACAATTTTTTACCATAATAAAGTAAAATAATTTTATAAGAAAGATATATTGAATGTTTTGTTGCAGGCTGTTGTGATTCTGCTCTTTGTCAATGGCTCTTTGGCCGCCTCCCGGGTGGCAAAAAGAAGCTATTTTGACAGTAGTAGTTATGGATATTCCTACGACGGTTTCGGCCATAGTGGACTAGGATCTGCCAGCAGCAGCTACTCGTCACCATCAGTAACATTCAGCGTAGCAGTAAGTAACTTAACCTACTATATAATATAATATAATCCAATATCTCTGATTTATACGAAACTTTACGCTGTAGAAACCCCACGGTCCGTCGATATCATCGGCAGATATCGCATCAGCAATCCAGGCCGCCAAGGAAGCCTCGGCCAGCGTGATGGCCGCCCAACGTCGAGTCCAGGAGGCCAAGGATGACGTGCTCACCCAACAACACCTGGCCACCCAAAAGCAAGCAGATGCCCAACTAGCCCTTCAGGTAAAAGAACACCTTATTCATTAGACCTCACTAATGTGCAAAGTTTTTTTTTCTCGCGCCCTACCATAATAGTATCGCTGTAGATTGTGGTTCTGGTCCAGTGAGTAGAGTAGTAGTTCCTTTTCTATCTAGATCGTTTGCTTTTTCATTTCCCTCTATCCATTGATGGGCTGGCACCCAGAGCAGGAGAACTTTATTTTCTTTGCCTAATTTGTTCAGCTTCTCTAGGTATTCTTTGACCAACTTCAAATTGATTAGCATCAGTATACCACATTATGGTACCATCTTTTACCTGCTGAGCAAACGTGTCTCTCTTTCAATCCTTTTTATGCTCAACACTACAGTGAGGTGGTTCTCAAAGTTGTACATTCTTCGCATATGTTATCCAATGAGAGTTGGTGGAATAGAATTTTTCTTTTCAGAGTATTCCAAGCTACTGAGCTGACAATTCTCCCAGTACTGTTCCCGTCAATGACAATTCTAATTATTTTCACATTGGCATATCTACCGATAACAATATGCACTGGTGTTAGATCTACAATGATCTGCATAGCTGTTGTTGGGTAGGTTCTTATGGCTCCTCTGATGCAAATACATGCCAGTCTCTGCATTTTGCACATACTTTGCCTTGCTGTACATTGTAATTAATGGTTTACTACCAATTAATACTTATTTTATATTATATTGATTTTATAGAAAACTGAAGCAGCGGCCGCCGTACAACAACAGGAAGCGAAAGCCGCCGCCACTGCTTTGGTCAGAGCTCAGCAGCGTCTCGCTCAGGCCAAGGCCGAAGTCTCAGAAGCTCAGAGGGCAGCGTCTAGCAAAGAGGCTCATGCCGCCGCTATCATTCAGAAAAGTGCCGCGGCAGCTGCTCATGAAATTCAAAAAACAGGTAATTATTATTTTATTCGTATTTTGAAAAATAACTTTCCTGATGTTCCTTTACTCGCATGGAAAATAATTCTTACAATAATTATGTATAGTCTTAAAACTGTAAAATATTTATTCTGAGAAAAAACTCACATATTTTTCGAATATCTACAAATTGAGAGTTTATATAGACGCTCAGTTTTTTCCAAGCGTGGCTAAACTAACCAAGCGAGTCAAAACCTAGCGAGCGTAACAATTAATTCCTGAGACTAGAACAATAGAAACAGAGAACTGGAAGAAATTGGACCATTATCGCTGTTCATATTATCTTTACATTTATTAATTTTGACGCCCTCTCAGCATCAAATTGCCTGTAATTTGAGACTGTTTTTTTATTAATTTTAAATTATTAATATCTATGCAATGATCTTTATCAAGAATATGTTGAGCAACGCAAAATATATCCGGTCTATCATTTCATATCTGAGCCATATGTTCTTTAAATCTAGTTAGATAATGTTGTTCTTCCAGTTTGCCCAACATATTTCTAATTACAATCTTTTCATAAAAGTTCATAAATACCCGACCTTTCCAGTGGAGGTGTTTTATCTTTAGGATTACCTAATGGAAATTTTCGATCCTTGCCGTAGAGAGCGCTGCGGTCGGATTTTTTTTTAAATTAACTGAAATGCATCAAGCCTATACACAAGTTTATAATTGACATTCTTAAAAATTCGTTTTAAATCACGGGATGACTCTATATCAAACGGTATTGAAACACGAGTATATCTTCACGTATCTTTCTCCACTTGATAAGTCGAATTTTGCAGAAACCTTTAAATTGTTTAATTTTCTTTTCATTTCGAATGTTCTAACTAAAATTTGATTGTACCTTTTTCTTTCCAGATGATGTAGCCAGAAAAATCCAATCTATCCAATCGTCAGGCAACTCCGCGTTGCGTCAAGTAGCAGCTGCCAAACAGGGTTCTTTGACAGCTGCGTCCGCAGCCGTGGCAGCTTCGGCCCACTCCTCCACCTCCGACGAGACTGGAGGTTCTCACCCATCGGCCGCCGGTCCTTGGTTCGGACAGAAGGTCGTCCATTTGCAACCTTGGGGCTAAGTTTGACTCTCCCTATAGTATTTTCCTTGTTTTCTACATGTATATTGTCATAGGAATCGACCTCCAAGCTTCAACTTAGTCATTTAATAAGTACACGCTACAAATTATATTGTAAATGTATTAGTTTAAGTTTGTTTTGTTGTTATATTTGTAATACGTTCCTAGGTTTAGTAGCTTTTTGTACGTTTATTTTATGTCAGCTGAAAAAAAATTGGTAATGTAATAAACTAAGTCATTATTAAAGGATTTTGTTTAATTTTCGCCAATAATTCGCCATGTAGAGTGTCTTAAAAGGCATATGAAACTACCATTTTACAATTTGGACACATTTGGAGACATTTATAAATTTTTTAATAATTTATTTTAAAATCTACTCGGTATAGTCTTGGTGCATTTCAGTTGATTTAAACAAATTCCAACCGCAGCGCTTCAACGGCAAAAATCAGAAATTATCAGTACCTACTTATAAATTGTGAATATAAGGAATATTATAATATTTTATGATTATAATATTCTTTGTTGTGAATCAATTAACTCATCAAAAAAATACTAGGTATACAGGAAATAAGACATATCATCGATCGTCAAAAAGGTATATTTAAAATTTAGTTCAGTCAATGGGGATTTTTGCTTGGAAAAAAGTCCGGAAGTTTTGCAACTTTGCAGGTTTATAGGCCAGAATGAGGACACCATGAATCACTACAGCCGTAGCTACTGACTAGGCTTAGAAATGGGAGCGAAGCAGCATGGGACTCAAGCTACATCCACGCTGGGGCACTTTATATGCAAGAAAAATCATTCCTACTGGGGACACTCGTTCACAGGACAACCGTACATAGGATAATGGTACAAGGGAACACTACCCGTACCTTGGATCATAACTTAGGACTATAACCTTGGAAATAGTCCGTACCTTGGAAATAGTCCGGACCTTGGACCCTAAAAATACGAAACTCTTGTTTAAAATCAAACAAGGTCTAATAAACAAAATGAACCTACCTCGAATTACTTCCAAGGGCTCACTAAATAATAAAGAACATGTCCTTTCTTCCATGTGACATTCTGGAGGACAAAAGAAAAGGGACGCCAACGTGCCAGCAAAATACAAATACAAGTTAGGTTGGGACATCCAAAACTCTACCCTAAAAATATGCAGTAATAATATCGAATCTAAAAGGATAATATTTCATCTTTACCTGTTGCTTTGAAATAGCAGCTGATTCAGATTATACAGCAAGATTTAAATAATCACCATTTCTAAAAGCAACAAAGTCATTTGCAGGTTTATAGGTTTTGGGGTCCCTAACTAAAATCCATAAAATGCACATTCCCAGACTTGCCGCCGGCGCAAATCGGTATTTTGTGAATATCTCGAAAACTATGCGTTTTTCGCGAAAATTTAAGGAGAGCAAATTAAGGAATAAAATTTCCTATAAAAAAGGTTTTATGAAAATTTTCGATAAAGTCAACCGTTTAGGCACAAAATCCCTGAAAATTTTACAATTTTGCGTAAAATATAATAATATTATGTATAGTCAATTTTCCGAAATAAAATGTCGATTAGGGTTCACTAAGAGGTAAAGTACATGGCGCGTTTATTTTAACGTATTCTCCCCGGAGGCCTACTCCACTAGATAAATTAAAAACTTTAACTTAGCTGCACAAGCCCCACGGATCTGGCTCATTGATGTCAAAGTCGATCGTGTGTGCTGTGCTGGGCTCATCACGGTGGTCTCTCAATAAGTCCAACCATCTTCAGCCGCCAGAGGGATATCTACAGGCAAGTCCAACTCCTCTTCGGATTCGTCGAGTGACACTTTAGTGACGTTGTCACAGGATTTCCTATTGCAGTATGCACAAATCATTGAACATTTTAATCCTGCTTTTCTGCATCCGCAGGCTTTACCATAGTTGTTGGTTTTGCATTTACAGGATAAAAATGCCAATAGGGATTTTGGAGCTGGATCTTTCAACGTTGTGACTGGAGTAATGCCTGTTATTGAACAACCAGACCAGTGCAGAACCTGGTGGTAAGTTCGCAATGAATGCTGTCCAGCACAATTAATTATTCATAAATTAATGAGCGAATTAATGATACGCCACTGTTTCATGACAAAATTGAAGAAACTAAACTAAAACTAGTTTTAGTGAACACTAATCGACATTTGATTTCGGAAAATCAACTATATTATGTTTATCATACTTTACGCAAAATTGTAAAAATTCCAGGGATTTTATGCCTAAACGGTTGACTTCAGCGAAAATTTTCATATAACCTTTTTTATATGAAATTTTATTCTCTTTAATTTTGCTCTCTTCAAATTTTTGCGAAAAACGCATAGTTTTCGAGATATTTACAAAATACCGATTTTGAGCACCATCTTGGCAAGATGGCGGCGCCGGCGTTAAGTCTGGAAATGTGCATTTTATGGATTTTAAGTAAGGGACCCCAAAACCTATAAACCTGCAAAGTTTCAAAACTTCCGGACTTTTTTCCAAGCAGGCCCCTTTTTTGATCCCCAATGACTGAGCTAATTTAAATTATAAGAAAGGGGAAAAACCATGAATTCACTACCTTATTTTATAAAAGAATCACCCTGTATATAAGACGTATTTTTTCTACATTAGGTATTATAAAATTTTCCTGGGAGAAAAAAACAGAATAATCCTGAAAAAATATAAATTTTTTGCCAGAAAAATCAAATCATCTGTTTATATTTGTCCGGACAGCTGATTTGTCACCTCAAAAATAACCTACAAATATTTGGCCCTCGATTTGGCATAAGAATTTTTTTTTCGTAAAGTGTATCTTTCGGAGGATATTACGAGTTAAATAAAATGTCTTTATCTCTGTTATCTATCAGATCTAGACAGTCACGTTTATTAAAAATTTCGAAAAATATTATAACACAAAATAGACTAGCCAGTGCAACCAAACGTGGGGTTATTTTACCACCACCTGAAAGAACTTCTTTTGGACTTTTTAAGGTAAATTAAAAGGTATACTGTTTTTGTGTCATTATAATTTGAAAAATAATGGTTTTTAGGTAGCTCTAACTGTTATGGTTGGACTATTTATTGGTGCAGGTATTAGTAAAAATATAGCAAACTTCTTAGAAGAAAACGACTTATTTGTACCTGAAGATGACGACGATGATGATTAGAAACGTTTAGGATATGTTGTAGTGGTTATTTTAATTTGTTGCCAAAAGATTTAAGAAAATAGGTCATTAATTAATTTATTTATGGATGAAAAATATTGTTTATTTACTCTGAAGTGTATATAGGTATCCCAGATGCTTTTTTTAAATAAAAACTCAAAAAAAGCTTATTGTTTTATTTGTAATAACAAAAATCAACACATACATTAAATAATATGGTTACAGTTACGACTTTCAGTATAAAATTATATAAATGGCAGCTTATTAGTAAAATTAAATAATATAATACTATTTTATTCTGGAGGCTTTTTATGTGCTCCCCAGCCATGAAAACATTTAGTAAATCTTTTAGATTCTTTATTTTTCAAAGTCAGGAACAATTTCCTAGGTCTATCGGGCTGTTTTACTCTCATATGCTGAATATAAACCTAAAAGGAAAAAAAATAGTTATATTGATTATATTTTAATAAAACTAAAATTAAGTACCTGTGCAGATTTATAAGCTAGTTTTATTTCAACCTCACTGCATTTAGCTCCCAACCATAGAAAAACTTGCTCGCCATTGTCAAGAATCATTATATCGTCATCGGCAAGATCGTCCTAAAAAAAATCAAGTTTAAATATACCGCCAAAAAACAAAGATAAAATGACCCGTCAAATAAATACGAATAAAAAAGACGGGCAATTCAGATGTTCTTTTATTTAGCAATTTAATTATACCGAAGGGTGATAAAACATAGTTTTTTACAAAAATCTTTCAAAAAGTACGATTGTTAAAATAAATAAAATGCAAAAATTGTTATTTTATTAGAAATTTCCTAAGTAGAAACATAAAATTTAAAAAGACCGCCAAAAGGTGGACTATCTTTGGACCAATAGTAAAATTAGAAGAACAATCACATGACATCCAAAATAAAATAAGACGTTTTCATTGGCGCATGAAAACGGAAGTGCAACTGACAATTCTTTCTCTTAGCTTTTTCCGTTTTCATTTATTTTTCCCGCAAAAAGTTAAAGCTATTTAACAAAAATGAAAACGGTTAAACTGGCTCCGATTTCTTACAAAAATCCTTCAGAAACCGAGTGTGTTAAAGCGAAAGCTTCCGCCATACCGGTAAAATACAAAAATCTCGTAGAAACAGCGAATGCAGTGCGTGGAATGACCGTTCAAAGGGCCGAAGCGTATTTGAAAAACGTGCTTGCTCACAAGGAATGCGTTCCTTTTAAGATATTTAAAGGAGGAATAGGAAAATGTGCACAAGCCAAACAATTTCGGACGATCATTGTGAGTATTTATTTTAGTTTTGAATTTATATTGAAATATTATGAAACTTTTATTATACAGGGTCGCTGGCCAAAAAATGCCGTGAAATGTGTTCAAGATCTTTTAAGAAACGCTATATCGAATGCTGAGTTTTACGGTAAAGACACGCAAAACCTGGCTATCGTTCAAATTCAAGTTAATCAAGCCCCGGTGTCTGTAAGAAAAACCTTCCGAGCACATGGAAGAATCAACCCATACGAACGTCATTTAAGTCATATCCAAATGGTACTTCGAAAGAAAGACTAAGTTAAGTTTATGTTAGTTTCAAGTAGGTAACTATTTCAGTGATGTTCTTTGCTAATTTTTTGTAAACTTTTGAATATAAATAATAAAACTTACTTGACAAAAGTCCGAACATTTTTCCGAAACAATAAAATATCCTTTTTCATTCGAACACCTAAAGAGTCTGGTATATTCCATAAAAACAGCATCAGTTTCATAGGGTTTTTTCCCATTGAGGCCAAGCCAAAAGAAATTATCTGGCTCTTCACCTAGGTGGAAAAAAATAATTACATATTTTTCTATTTTACTTAAAAAAAATAACATTACCTTCAGATAATACTTGTAAAGTGACCCAAGGGCTGTTAAACATTTCATCTGCTATCTCTTGAACAAGTCTAGCCTCATCCTGATCTGATTTTGAACCAATCCACACATAAACGATTCCAGAATCAGGATCATCATCTTGTTCAAATGGAACTTTCAAAATATAGCTGTTAAAAAAAGAAAAAAAAAATGTATTATATGTGTAGGGTGTCCAATTTTCGTGTGTGTGTTATGGTGTTTCTAGTTTATGAGGAGAGATACAAAGATCATCACTGCACTACTTTTTCTGAAATTAAAAATGCTACACACAGATTTGTCCTAGCCCTCTTGGTTCCTCAAATACAAGACGAATTTGAAATTGTTGCTTTTTTCCACCCTTCTCGTATATTGATTATCTTATAACTTATAGAAAATATGGAAACTATATGCCCCATAAAGTTTTTCACGTAGAATTTAGTGACATAACTGGTTTTTCGTTGGGAGCTGTTATTCTTGATATATGGCCCAAATTATCGCTGAGATACGAGGGAATCCAAAATGCAACACATTTCAAATTTGCCCTGTATTTCAGAGCCATGATAAATCATGTATGTATAACATCTTAAGTTTCATAAAAAGTGGCATAGTGATGTGAAAACTGCATCTTTGTATCTCTACTTATAAACGAAAAACCCTGTAAAGCACACAAAAATGGGACTCCCTGTACATATATACAGAATATAAAAAACAGCCATACAATCGCCATTGAAATGACAATCTACAGAGTGCAAAATATGTCCGAAAACTTTTTACATTTTACAGATTTACTATCAATTCTCACTTCAATGGTCCCTATGACGCGTTTTTTTTTTTCGATTAAATGGTTTATTGAAGTGATGGTCAGTTACCAGAAAGCAGAATTCAGCTGTGTGGCATCGGGTTTGATCTGAACTAGTCTTGTATACAGGGCGCTTCCGTTTGATCTCAAGTGGTAGAATTCAACCATATTTTTTTCTTTTATCTTTCTTTTGCCTTGATGAATAATGAATTTTCGCTTGAAATGGGCCATGAATTTCATGTTTTCTTGTTGCTGGTGCGTTCTGACCACCTCTAACTTATCCTGAAGAAAGAACAAACAGTTAAATAAGTTGTTTTATAAGTATACAGGGTGAGTACACGATAAGGGGTAAAAAACTCATCTCGTTTGTTTTGCGAAATACAAAAAAAATGTTAAATAGGAAAGTTTTAGAGAATATTAAGATACATTATTTAAAATTATTTTTGGGTATACAGGGTGTTTCAAAAATGTATGGAGGATATAACATGAATTTTTCGTATTTTTAGAATCTGCGTAAAATTCTATATGTTTTTTTATATAATCTTGTATATCTAAGATTAAGAGTTAATTAATATTTCAATTTATTTAAAAAAATGTTAAATTTTAGTATGGTAAAAAATTTCAATGGTGCTATTGTTTTTGAAGCTGGAGTACACAAATTTGGTAGGAGAGATTTTAAGAGTTTAAGAAAAATATATAGGTAGGGATATTTAAGTTAGATGCTACAGGGTGTCCAAAATAAATTTATGAATTTCGTCTACTTAAAATTGAAAATTCTTATTTTTCGATTTGCACACCTAGATATTAGTATTTTCTTTCCGAATCTTCTAAAAGACTCTTCAACTTTTAATAAGTATGTTATATAGGTTTTTTCAAACCTTAAAAAATTATAGCACTACCAATAACTTTTTGCAATACTGAAATGACATTTCTTTAAATAAACTGAAATATTACAAAAACTACTAGTTTTAGGAATATAACATTATATTTAAAAAAGATAGCACTTTATGTAGAATCTTAAATTATATCCCCTAAAATTTTGCTATGTAACATTTTTTCATAAATATCAAAACAAATAAAATAATATATATAACTACACTGTTAACTCACCCTGTACAGGATGTCCTATTTTCGTGGGTTTACGGAGTTTCTTGTTTCTTAGTAGAGATACACAGATGCAGTTTTCGCACCATTGTGCTACTTTTTTATAAAACTAAAAATGCTACTTATAAAACTACAGATATGTATGTATGTATGCCCTCTTAGTTTCTAAAATTCAGGGTGAATTTGAAAATTTTGCATTTTTTGACCTCCTTTGTATCTTGATTATCTTATGATTTATCAAAAAGGCGAAAACTTGGTCACGTAGAATCCAGTGGCGTAACTAATTTTTCGCTGGGAACGGTAGTGATGTGAAAACCCCAACTTTGTATCTCTACACAAAAGCGAGAAACCCCATAAAACACAAAAATGGGACACCTTGTACAGAAATGGCATTGATAACGTACCCGGAACAGAGTTTTGAATTTCTTCTGAAGTGTAAAAGTAAAAGTTAACCAGCCCATGTTACTGGCTTCTCTGCCCTGCCAGAAATAAACCACTACTTGAAGATCGTCTGCGTCATCTACGTGTTCATTGTCATCAGTGTCATCCACTGGGACCCAGTATCGACAGAGGAAGACGTAACAGTCTTTGGAGTAGAAATGACCTAGAAAAATTATATGTGTGAATTGATAAGTAGGTGAAAAATGTTTTTTTGAATTGTACCTAACTCTTCTTCAGGCAAGCGTACAAATTTCTTGCCTTCCAAGACAAAGGCTTCCATTCCTTCTAAGTCTTCATTCCATTCGTCCATGAGCTGCTGAGCCTCGGATAGAGCCATTGGTGGTTGTCTAGAATTTTAAAGGATTTATTTAGTATACCGGGTGCGTCTCAAAAGTGGCTCAACCCTATAACTTTTTTTTTCAGATAAAAAAAAACGATATTTGGTTTGTTAATATATGGCATAAATTAGGATTGATTGATGTATTCAATTGTTTTAGGTCACTTTCTGTTTCACCAGAAATGACTACAACTTCTGATTTTTAAATGGCACCCTTGGTATTTTTTTCCTTTATTTCATAGAAAATAATACTCTGAATAGAATGACATATCACATGTCAACTTTTGACATTTTCCCATATGGTTTATTTGAAATTGTAAAATGCGGTTCATAACGACATTTTGACTCGAAATACCAGGTGTGTGGTATTAATTTACTAGTAAAACAAAGCTTTTTCGAAATATGCTAATGAACCACCCTCTCTCGACCAGGACAAGACACGAAAACTATTAGAATCGATTTTATTGCTTGCTTCTTGATTAAAAATTAGTGTTTTTAATACAACCATGGCACTTTAGATTTAAATTTAAAATACGATTTTTTAAGCGAGAATGTCAAAAGTTGACATATGATAATGGCATTCTATTCAGAGTGTCATTTTCTATCGAATAAAGTAAAAAAATACCGAGGGTGCTATTTAAAAATCAAAAGTTGTAGTCATTTCCTGTGAGACAGGAAGTGATCGAAAACAACTGAATACATCAAGCTATATTATTGTAAAGTTTCATTAATATTCATTAGGTAGTTTTTGTGTGAAAGAGTAACATACATACAAACTTTCGCGTTTATAATATTAGTAAGGATGTCGCGACTTTATTATCGATTCTTCAGGCACTAACACGTTTAGAAGCTGTCATTTGTCACAAACTTACCTGGGAGTAAATAAGGCAGTTAGATCAGCTTTAGTTTCCTGTTGCCTGGCCCATTTAGTTAAGTCCGCACCTGTTTTTTGCACCGATTCGGCTGTTCGAGTAAAATCTACGGCTATTACTTCATCCCAACCCACAAATTTGCATTTGAATACCTAGAAATAATTGAATAACTTATTATTAAAATTATACATATCTTGCAAACAGAGAATAGGTTTGTATAATTAAGAAGAAGAATTTAACCGCTTTTTTCTGTTATTACGGGGATTATAGACACACATTATAGACTGTCCAACAAAGAATTCCTGATAATGACAGTTGTATCTTTCATCTTAATTCACAGGCAAATTATCGTTTGACGAAATCCTCCCTGATTCAATGGACAGACATTATAAAAAGTAAATAAACACAAACCTGTGGTTCTGTACCTTCCCTAACCCTGGTAACCAATGCATAATCAGGCCTATCAATCATGTTGAATAATTCTTCAGACAGTTTTACAGCGGCAGCATTCACTAATCTAGTACTCTTTTTACCAATCCTGTTCAAAAGAAAATATAAAATTAGTATTTTATCTATAGGAAAATAGTTCAGTAACTTACCACACAAAAACGTCCAGGTAGCAATCCAAAATGTACACGTTTTTACTTTTCAGTAAAGTGTTTACTAATTTTCCATGCGGTACTTCAACCTGGGGTAATTCTAGGTAGCCCATCCCGAGCTGAACGCGGTACAAACGTGGCGGTACAGGAGTAAAATTTGAATCAACATGTTCCTAGTAAAAAAAAAGAAAAAATATAGTTGAGATTTTTTAGTACAGGGTGACGCCTCTCATACGACGCGGCAACTCAAAGGAGAACGACAGTATAATAGCATATTTATACCTAGGTTAATTTAGAGCATTTTTTAAAAATATATGGAGTTCTAGAGAGAGCCCCCACAAAAAAATACACATAAAAGCTAGGATTTTTATAATGGAACACCATATATAGTAATTATTAATTGTTTTTCGGATTCTAGAAAAAAAAGGTGACTTTCATCAGAGAAGTATAAAAATGACCGAAATGTAAGGTTTTTGACATATTTCAAATTACAAATACAAATCTCTAAAAATTGAAAAAGATACATACTTTAATGACATCTTGTGGCCTGATATCTTCGGGTAATCCCAGAGTAACCCAAAATTCTTTACCCTCATCCCCTGTGATTTCCCCAATAATCTCCGCTTTATTTTTTCTCTCATTTTTGTTGACCTTCTCGCACATCAGCCTGGCTTTCGATTTTAACGTATTTTTTGCGTTTTTACCGTTCCATATAAACATTTTTGTTCCTGAAATAAAAGATAGAAAAGTTAAAAAGAATTACAACAAAATAAAATAGGTCAAAAATAATACCTTTATCCAGAATAAAAACAAAACGTGAATCCAGGGAATATGGACTGATAGCCACAGGTTCTAAATGAATAGACGGTCCAGCGGCGTGCACTCTATAAAGTCTTGTTTCGAATACCTAAAAAATAATAATCACTTCAAACAGTGGCGTGCCTTTCAGTATTTTAGAGGTGCACAAACTTATAGAGTAATAAGTACTTTTATTGCTCACTGTTATACATATATAAAAAACCTCGACTTATTTATCGATAGATACAGGGTGAGTCTTAAATAAATGCAAATATTTTTAGGTGTGGTATATTTAGATCCCAGAAACTGGTTGTTGACGACCTGGTTGAGTAAGCTCCAGAAATATTAACTTTTAGGCTTTGTTCTGAACTTCGCAATTAGTGGAATAAATTAGTGGTTTCAATTACACTTTATACTTTTTGGTTTACAATCATTCACAATGTTTGAAAACCACAATTAAAATTATAGAATATCCTAACCATATCCCAGCAATAACTTGCGTTAGTCAGATGTATCCATAGAGAAAACCTAATATTTAGCTTATAAAACAATCAACTATTAATTTCTAACCACAATTTCTCTTGACGGAAGATAATCAAAGGCCAAAATGGCATTTCTAGCAAATTTTGAAGTATAATAAGTGGAAAAGTTAAAAGTCTGACAACTTTTTCTAGTAATTGAAAATGTTTACCACTAATTTTGACGTTCTGAATGCTTATGTTGAAATTCAAGGAACAAACTTCTACGCTAATTGACACCACTAATTTATTCCACTAATTGCGAGGTTCTGAATAAAGCTTTACAACTGAAATGTTTACTTACCATATCTTCCACTGTGAAGAAACCACTGCAAGTCCTTCCTCCTTCAATATAAGTTATCTGTGTATCAAACAAAGCCATAAACTCATCAGACTCATCTCCTTGTTCCTCCCTAATCGTCCTACACTGTGCGCCCAAATAATTTCTTAAATTAACCGCATGAATTGCTGAACAAGCCCTTTTATCCAACTAAAAAAAAATATTTCTATAAAAATTACATTTTGAAAAAAAAACAATACTTACTGGTGCTTTCTCTCCGATCCAAAAATATATTTCCCAACTAAAGCTCTGATTGTCGTCGATGATAGTTTTCAAAATTATATAGCAATCGCCTTCGTAGAATTTTCCGTATGCGACTTCTTCGATGCGATTGGGCAGGAAATTCTCAATTTCCCATATGGTTAAACCAGCCACTTGCCCTGCATCTTCTTCGAAAAACTCGGAATAGTCTAGCGGTGGTTTTTCTAGAGTCTCATCCCACCTCTTGGGTCTAAAAGGAGATTTATATTTATTTTATACTAATTTTCTCGCGACTTCTTTCGCGTAAAATTCGAATTTTATTAATATAAAGCAATGACTAAAGAATTAAGGACATGTAACGTCCATAGACGGGCTGCAGCAGAATTTGTGACATTAAGGTGCGTATCCGTTTCGAGTCGGTACATCAAAGGCGTTCGCGTCCGAACGAACGAACGAACGAATGTTCGCTAGTGGTATGGACGGGGACCGTACGATAGAACCGCACGAGAAGACCGGAGGCATTTGTTGGCGAACGCCTTTGATGTACCGACTCGAAACGGATGGTCGAGCGAACGAACGAACGAACGGCCGCATGCGTTCGGTCCCCGTCTAAATATACCGCACTTTCATTCGTTCGTTCGTTCGTTCGGATAATGAATACGCACCTTTAGACGCCATTTTTTTTATGGCAACAAATGAGTCACCAGCGACAATTTTAGCGATTTTTAAAAGTTTGTGTGTAGTGAACTTTGTATAAACTTTATTACAATGGTGATTAGTTGTTCAGCTTTCAAGTGTAAAAGCCGCAGCGATAAGAAAGAGCCAGGAGTTCCGTTTCCATAGAATTATTTATTTTTTCCATCCTTATTGAATTCGGTAATTATTTTTCTGATATTATAGGTATGTACTTGATGTACGTCGATATACATACGTCGATACTAGTTTTGTACCTTTTGTTAACATTTTAATACGTTTTTTCGTAATTAATTAGTATGATAGGCGTAGTCAAAACATTTATCAAAAAATATAAATATCTCTTCAAACAGCTAAGTTAAGAAAAATATGTGCCACGGCACTTGGATTCTTTAGTAATTGATATAAAGTGTAATATTTATTATAGCACCTAGTGGCAATATTTGAAAGTACCTATTACATGTGTCTAGTTGTAATATTGACAGTCCATGAATAAAGATAGACGTTTTATTGCTCTCCTGTTATTTATCTTTTCATTTTTTTTATAACATCTTTATAAATTATAGCCTATGTGTTATTCTGATGTATAAGCTATATTATTGTAAAGTTTCATTAAAATCCATTCAGTAGTTTTTGCGTGAAAGAGTAACTAAAATCGCGTTTATAATATATATCAGATTAGCTTATTTCGGGTTTTTCTTATTCCGGATTCATTACGACTCGTCATAAAACTCTACAGCGCATGCGCGGGTAAAACATATGTTACGATTAGATTCTTCGTGGTGGCTATCGACCTGTTCCACTGCGACCTTTTCAGATCTATTGTCTGGAGAATATTTTATCAAAAAAGTGTGAGATACCTAATCTATATTCCTAAAAAAGATTCATTCCTCCAAAAAATATGCAAGTTTTACTGCAGAATGCCACATGTTATAGTTTTCATTATATAGTTTTTAGTATTAAATTTTTACGAAAAAAATGCTATATTTAAACCAAATAAATTTAGCAAATAGACTTCAGACTTTGTTATACAGGCTCGGCAATGGATCTCTAGGCATAGGAATTACATGCATTGGAATGAAACGCCTATAAAAAGTCTATGCTTAAACAGAGATGGACAACAACTTCCCCGTTTCCACTTCCACTACGACTGTCTACTTAGACAAACTCCAATAAGATAACAAATTTTGGAAATTCCGCCACCTCCCATCCACTCATGATACCCATCTCCCTGCCCTTTATTTATCGCCATTATTTTATTTCCCTACCGATCTACCGATTTAAAGAAAAATCTAACGATATATTCAACTGCGTCTTTAGTTTTTACAACAGAAGCACTTTTAAAAAACTGACTTATTTGACTAAAAATTAAGCGACTGCCGCGTTGGAATCTGTATAATCTGACTTTATTATTGTTTCATTAAATTTTATTTAGTAATAACACACATACAGGTCATCGTTCTGTCTAGTTGCAGAGTTACAGAGATATTCCTAAAAATCCTTATTACTCCTTATTAGACGCGGTATTGGCGACATGCCCGAAGAAGTTGATATCTTTTGAAAAGATTTTATTACATTCATCTACTAAAGTTGAACCCATATTTTCCCCCAAAAAATGTAAACAAAAAACAAAATTTAAGTTAAGAAACAACCTAAATTCGGACAAATATTTTAATGATTTTCCCGTCAAAAAATATATATTAATATGAAAAAGAGTTAGAGTTGCTACAGCTTTCCCATTGAAATGAAATTAATTTTAGATATCACTGATCAAAATTTGTACAAAGGTAAAAAGTGACTGCTACACTAATTTGTGACTGCTATCCCTACTTGTTATAGTTTTATATGTTTTTATTAATATATTAATATTATTTAATTCAATATTTTTTTTAATATCAAATAATATACCTAGCTATTTCTAATTCTTGTTATATTTATTATATTTGTATTTTATTTGAGTGATCTATTATTACGACACATAGGAATGCTAATTTTGGACTTAAATATTATATTTTATTTCGTTTCTGTACTTTTAATTTTTGTTGAAGATCTACCGAGAATTTTGTTCTCGTATGGAATTATAATCTAACCAACCCGGCAACCCTGTTCGGCTACTCCTTATAAAGTTTTTTTCGGCCTAATTCCTTTGTCACAGCCGCGGCTTTGTCAAGCGCCGCCGCCGACCGACTGTGTCGGGGCGACTGCTAGGAAGATCGTACAGTATTGCCATTTCATAGAATTGCACTTGCTATTTTAGAAATGATTTCAAAGTTTTGCATGTTACTTTTCGTTTTAGAAAGAAGTTATGTGCCTAGAGAAAACATTCTTAAAATTGTTTCGTACTTTATTTAATATTTCATTAAGTAGGCAAGATAATGGGATTAGAAGATTTAGGATTTTGACAAGCCAACATAATTTCGATTTAATTGAATGGCAACACTGTCCGTCCTGTTTCTATTTTTTCGATTCTGTTCTATTTTTAGAATTTAGAATGAGTGGGAGGGGGGTTAATCACTTCGACCTTACAGATCCATTGTGTCCCCCTTTCTTGAATCATAACTCATCATACAGTCCCAGGGCTTTGACAAAAGCCAGTATCTGGGACGGTTTTATAGAGGGTAGTTCTCCATCTCCAATATCAGTCGTACCAAAATTCATGGCACGAATGGTTGTCGTCTCGGCGCACTCAGTGATGAGGTGTACTGGTGTTTCACCATCTTCCCCACAGAATCTGCATTCGCCGTTTCTTCTTAGTTTCAATCTACTGAGGTGTTCATTGAGGAGACAGTGTCCTGTTAAGTAGGCTGTGTTCTATTAGTAGGCGGTAGCCCCCACACAAGCGTCTAAAGACCCGCCCGGCGCCCCCTCTCGCAGGGGCTCTCTCGTCGTATCACTTCTATGATCACTTCCCCTATACGATGGTAGGGAAAAAGACACTTTATCCGTCTCTGTTGCACTGCAGTGTATTTTGCAGCTTTACCATCTTTTTTTATTGCATTGAAAACCTCCTATTGCTAATATTCCTTTGCCAGCAGTGTATATGTTGTTCAGTACTATTCTGAAAAATGTGTCCGCCATTTTCTACTTCAACAACAATGACGGATATTGTTGACTCAAATCTGGTCACTTTAGTTTACTAAATTTGTCAAAAGTGACAATATAATTCTAAAAATAAATAAGATTCTTACTTCAAAGATTCAGCCTTGATCTCTTCTTGCAGTCTATTCTTATCCTTAGCTATATCTTTCATGCCCTGTTAAAAACATAAAACATTACATTCTCAGCTTCATTTACTGAGAGTTATATTAAATACCTTCAATATTTTTGCTTGATCTTGATCAGCCTCCTCTTGGTCCCTTTTCCCCCTCCGTAACCTCATTTTTCTGGCTATCGGATCCTTGCTAGGATCTGTAAACACATAATAAAGAACTTCATAATCTAAATTTTATTTTGATACTTACTTTGGGATGGCAAAGGAGCAGGCACAGTAGCACCAGCCAATCTAAGCTGATTCTGTAATGAAAAATCTATGTTGTAAAACTCCAAACCAGCACCCTTAGTCATTTCAGTTGGTTTCGGAGGCATAATTAAGTCCGGATTGTTTTTCAAGTCTAAGGAATCTAAATCTGTGAGTAAATGTATGGCATCGGGAAGAGTTATCAAACGATTTGAGCTCAAATTTAGTTTTTTCAATGATCCACATCTACATAAACCTTCCGGAATCATCTCTAACTGATTATGAGCTGCCGAAAATATTTCCAAAGCTCCCAGTTTACCGATGCCTGAAGGGATACCTTCGAAATCTAGTTGATTATCATTTACATAAAGCCTTCTTAATAGCTGTAACTTGCAAAGGGATGGAGGAAGACTAGTGAGCTGATTATGGGACAGGTTTAGAATTTCTAATTTTTGCCATAACTCCATTGCTAAAAGAAATATAATAATATATAACAATCTAGTAATTTGGTGTCTAGTGTTATTGTCCTTGTATTCTTTAGTCACTCAGCTGAGTGCTCTTTTTTCTACTTACCATTTGATACTTCTGTAATTTCATTTTCACTCAAATTCAACCTTTTTAGGCTAGGCAATGAATATAAAGCCTCTGGTACCTTAGGCAAGGCATTCTGAGCCAAATCTACATCAGTCAAATTAACCAAATTATCCAAGTTACCTGGGAAATTATTTAAATTTCTTTGAGTATTTCTTAAATGTAATGTTTCTAAATTTATCAAACTGGGTAACTGTCTTAATTGAAAGTGTCCTAGTGGGTTATTGTTCAAAATTAACGTTTGGAGATTTGCTAGTCTTCTTGTCTGAGGTGGCAACGTTTCAAGATTGTTGTTACTGAGATCCAAAAACAACAAATCCGTTAAATTAATAAATAAAGAGTTTGGAATAGAATCAATACTAAAAAAGTAAAAAGGTCATTTAATATTAGTTACATCATTTAATAAGAAAACTTACTGGTTATAGCTTAAATTTAAAACTAACAATCCTTTAGCTCTGTCCAAACCTTCGGGCACTTCCTTCAAATTATTATGACTCAAATCCAGTGTACTTAATTCTTCTAGATGAAACAATTCCGCAGGTATTCCCGAACTTTTCACGTTGTTATGTCGTAAGTTTAGCGTTCTCAAACAATTTAGTTCTGTTAGTTCACCATACAGTTTTTCCAAGTCGTTTCGTGTCAAGGAAAGGTGTTCTAATTTCATTAAATTACCCATTTCTTTGGGTATTTCCTTGAGGTTTGTATGATCCAACTTTAACCATTGCACGCCGGTCATAGAACTTACAGCCTCGGGAAATTTATCGTCCTATAACAAGAGATAATGTAGAAAAAATACCTTTTAGAGAAGTTTCTATAAATACGCTGAAATCGTTCCGGGTGAAGTCTATGCCTCGCACGAAGGGTAAAACGCCAGTGTTGGCCATAATTGTTCCTGATTTTATAATGTTTTTTTAGTCTTGCAAATTCTTGTTAGAGATTAATTTTCATTGTTTTAACTTAAAAAAAAGAAATTAGTCATTTTTAAAATAAAATTGACCTTGGAGCGTTTGACATTGACAAACAGCTGATATATGTCAAAATGTGACAGGATCAGTTGAATCTTTGGGTAGTTCTACAAAAGCTACATAATTTAAAAGAAGAAAATTCTACCAACCCCACTAAAGTCCCTAGAATTTTCTCCCACCACAAGGAAAATTTAATTCAATTTTAATTGAATTTGTGCCGCATTCGCCTTGTCTTTCGTTCGTAAAAGTCGTCCGCTTCGTGCGGTGATTTGCACCTCCCGTGCAAACGTGAAAACCGAAAACCATGGAAAATTTCATTTAGCTCTCGTTGATCATGTGCCCCGTTCGTTTATTTTGATTCCTCAGATCGTCGTTTTCTTTTAAATATTCGTTTCAATTCAAAAATCGATTTCTTTCCCGTCTTTTGTTTAAATATTTTTATTCGTTTCGCCGAAGCACGAACCGATTTCATAACCTTTTTCATCGTTTTTAAATAGAAATAAATACAACCATGGAGAGACCTGGAGAAAATAAAAGATTTGTGTATCGACTGGTGTTAACTGGAGGTTTGTATGCGTTTAATTTCTATTGTTTGATAGGTAATATTGATTGAGTATATTTCTAAGTTTATTTTTATTGTTTTAGGTCCTTGTGGAGGTAAAACTACAGGACAAGCTCGACTATGCACGTTCTTTGAGAATTTGGGCTGGAAAGTGAGTTAACTTTGTTAAAAAAAATATTCATCCAACTAAAACAATTCTTTTTTTAGGTTTTTCGAGTTCCAGAGACAGCTTCTGTACTTTTAAGGTAAGAAACATAATCATGTTTTCTAATAATCCTTCATCTACTTAAGAGAGCATGATAATGGTTATCAACAAAACCACGTTACATACATATTTTCGTCACATCTTAAACTGGTGATAACTGCCTTATCAGTAACTGCTTAACTCAATCAAGGTTGAGGCTGATAGATATCTGTTATATATATAGTATAAGTAATAAGTCAATGTGTGTGTGTGTGTGTGTGTTTATATATTTTTACCGCCTGAACTTTCTCAAATTTAGCAGATTGTTTCATTGACTTGCAGAAATGTTTTGGTGCCTTGCCAAAAAAAAAATACAATTTGTTGGCAACGTGCTGAGGTATCCTGGCATATACTTACCAGAAATGTCCAGTTGAGACACTCAACGAGCCTCGTGACTGAAACTGACCAGACTTTGCTCTAGTTAACATTAAAAAAGGATATGTATTATATAAATTTGTATTATTGAATAATTATTGTCTGTTCATGTGAGAAAATATATGGTTTCTAAAAAATAACAGAAAAAAATAATCTAATTTATCAATAAAAATAGCCAGTTAAATGTTACTCTTAAGGTAGTTTCCATACAAGTTTTTGAGAGTGTAATTTGTTGTCTGTCATTTTAATTCACAGTTCAGTTAAATTGTATTTTCTGTCATTGTTTCGATGTCGTCTGGCAATATTCTTTTCTAATTCGTTGGGACAAATGCACAGACTTTACTTTAAAGGGGACATTAAAGGCAGTGTTTAGTGTATTCTTTTGCGTTTGTGAGCAGTACTAAGATTTGTATTGCATACTTTACAAATTACATCAGAATTGGGATATCCATTTTTAATAAAACAGAGAAAACTTTGAGCATTTCATTAATTACTATACACTTTCGTTTTGGCATTATTAAATACTCAATTTGATTGATAAAATTAAATATTGAACGTTATATACTGATACTTCCAAATCAATTTCTCATTGCATATACACTTAGCATGAGCTAAAGTCTGTCCAACGAGTCAGCGAAGATTTCGACAGATGAGATTTAAAAAATGATACAAAATACTATTTATTGAGAATTAAAATGACAGACATATTCATAAAGCACACGTAATCATAACAAAATAAAGACAAATAAATTCACAATTAAGTTCACAATCCACATCAACGAGTCATTTTTAAGTAAATGACGTCTAGATTATTCCTTAGCCGTCTTTGACGCCGTTTTTTTTTCGATCATACTGTTATACAGTACCTTTACGTACGTATGTATAATGTTTAATGTTTCTACTAAAAATTATGGTTAATCTAAATAATTTCACGTGCCAAATAATTGTTTATTTAAGTCTATATTTATACCGAAATCTATTTTGCAAATATATTAGGCATTTGTTTAACGTAAGAAAAGAGTTTATACGTACTATTTAAAACCCTAGGTATAGAGAGGAAAAGATAAATTATAATCGAGTTACAGAAAAACAAGTGTTACGCAAAAATTTCGCGCTCAAGTGTAAAATTAAAATTCGAAAACAAATTAACGGATAGACGGAAAAAATATTTGCGTTGTTGAGGTTTTTAAGCTTTATTGAAATCGATTAGTCCAAATAATAAATCTATTAAGGGACTTTATTTTAATATAATATAATATACATTCGTGGATGTGTACATTTAATTATTTTAAATTGTTTTAATAAAACAACTTGTTGAAAGCGAATTGATCTGATAATCACCAGATCTAATTGAAGAATTTTATTACTGTTGACACGTAGAGATATTTTTAATTGTAAGTGGGATTTTAGGCATGACAGAGAGAGAAATTTGTTTATAATTTTTTTACATAAACAGCATGATTATACATGAGGTGTCAAGTTGCAAAACCCGCCTTATCGATTTAAAAAAAATGGCCTTATGGACACCGAAATTTACATAAATGTAGTCCCAAACGGCAGCAATAATCTCCTAATCCTATATAAAATTCACTACAAATTACGTTACTGCAGCAAAATCGGCCCTATCCACTTATATTTGCTTTTTATTGTCATTATTTTTGCAAATCCCCCATTTTTTCATAGAATTCTTACACAAGTGTAATATTACTATTATACTGACATCTTATTCGTGCAATACCGGGTGCATCTCAAAAGTGGCTCACCCCTATAACTTTTTTATTTTTTCAGATAGGTAAATCAATGAGATATGGTTAGTATATGACATAAATTAGGATTGATTGACATATTCAATTGTTTTGTCACTTCCTGTTTCACCGGAAATGACTACAAATTTTGAATTTTAAATGGCACCCTCGGTATTTTTTTACTATATTTGATAGAAAATGACCCTCTGAATAGAATGACATGTCATATGTCAACTTTTGACATTTTCGCATATGCTTTATTTGAAATTATAACATGCGATGCATAATGACAATTTGACTCAACATACCAAGTATCAAATTATTCGTAAAAAAATGCTTTTTCCAAATATGCTAACGAGCCACCCGCGTTCCATTTGAAAAAAAATGATTTATGATTAAAAATACGATTTGGGCATCTTTTAACCGGTCAGGACAAGACACTAAAAACATTAAATGATCAAATCTATTTTTCCAAGGCTCCTCGATTAAAGATTAGTGTTTTTAACACAGCCATGGCACTCTAGATTGAAATTTAAAATACAATTTGTTTTTTAGCGAATATGAGCGATTTTAGCGATTTAGAGTGTTACAGTACGTCTGTCCGTTCTGTAGCTCCGGGGTATCCGTGAGAGGGGAAACGATATTCTCTCGATGTTTTTCGTAAAAAATTAGACGACGCGTCCCATCAATAAAAATTCGACAAATTTGCAAGTAGCCAATAAAATAAGTGGGCGGAGCGATTTGCGGTGACGTACTCGTCAAGTCGACATATAAGATATATTGCTGTTTATTTAAATGTTTTTTGTCCGCATTCCTTTCATAGACACAAATCCAGTAGACGTACTTTACTTTCTATCGAATAAAGTAAAAAAAAATACCGAGGGTGCCATTTAAAAATCAAAAGTTGTAGTCATTTCCGGTGAAATAGGAAGTGACCGAAAACAATTGATTACGTCAATCAATCTTAATTCCACCTCGAAGATCTCTGAATTTTCTCTCGCAAGTCTGGGCTCCGGCTTTCATAAGCGTATCATTGATTGATAGGACAAATTGTTTATTAACTCGGCTAAAATTTAATATTTTTTTGATGGTTCAAAGTGCATTTAAAAGGTAGAATTAACAACTATCACATTTTGGATCTTGTTAGAATTATATCATATTTTATGATTATAAAAAAATCGGCCAAACATTCCTTAGCCCAAAAATTTTCAGATTTTTACAAACTTACTCATATTTTCACTAATAATAGCTTATTTCTCAAGATTGTTTTTTAACAGTTGTTCTTAGAGTCTCTTTAAGCAACTCAGAAAGTTTGGTTAATAACATAATATTAACAAACACAGTAAAATTATTGCAAAACAATGATGAAGAAACGACCAGAGGCAACAAATCACATAATTCACAAAAAAACTCATTTACTAGATTTAGATTACATTACTACAATTATTTATAATTGATTTTTTTTTCTTTTCCAGTGGTGGAGTAAAGTTCACCGATTTGAACGAGGAAGAAGGTAAGTCTAGATTCATAATATGACGTCATGCGAATCCTTTAAAGTTTTAGGTTTAAAAACTCTTTCTTAATTTTTTTATGAGGCTTCTCGCCCGAAATAACTAAGATTTGCGACGGGGTTCTTATAAAAAATCTTATGTTATAAGCGTAGAGTGTTGTTAGAAAAATTTGTTGAAATAAACTTAAAAATAGTATTTTAGTTTATACTAAATTATTAGAATTATTAAAAAATATATTTCTAATAAAAATAGATAATTTATAATAATTATTTAATTACAAAAATGTCAGATACTCTGTTGAAATACTTAATTAAAATTGACCTATCTTAATTATTTTTGACAAGTAGTAAATACAGAGTGTCCCAGAAATGAGTGCAAATATTTTAACTGGTAGTATAGCTCAACCCCAGAAACACGCCTATGAGGTTTTTCTGCGAAAAAAAATGTTGAAAATTTTACATTTTTCTTGACATTTTCCGGAAAATTTTGAAAAACTTTTGAGTGCCACTGTTCACTCTCCGGAAATTCGTTTAAGGTTGTCGCCCACTAGACCGCTGCGCGGCGCGGCTCTGGTAAGAGAATTTTTTCCGGCTGCGAAGGAACTGCGCCCACTATAGCGCGCTTTTGAAACGCGGCAACGCTATTTATTAGTTATAGTGTTTTTTACTTACTGTAGTTTAGTTTTTAAAGCAATGAGTTCAAGTACGGACGAAAGCGTATTTTTTGTGCTCTTCTAACAGAGGAAGAGGAAGAGGGGGTGAGGAAAAGTTTGGACTCATACGAATAACAAAAAAAGAAAGAAGTTTGGAGAATTTTACCATCTTTTTCCAGATTTAATAAAAGACAAGATCATTTTTTTTTTGTATTACAAAATATAAAGGAAACATTTTACGCACTCCTCAATTGAGGGTTTTAGAAGCAAAACACCGAGCATCTCTACTCATCATATTTTTTCAGAAGAGACAAATTACTAATACTTTTGATAATTCTTATGTATTCTGATGTGTATATTAGTTATGTGGTGAAAAAACCCTGATCTTTTTTATATATTTAGGTAATTAGAATTTAAAAATTGGAGATTGTCACTTTTGTTAAAAAGTGGAGATTGCCGGTTTTGCCTCTACACCCCTCAATTATATTAAATCTTTGATAGAACGGCATTTCGTCCATCTGTCTCTAGTGAGGGAAGATTTAAAAAAAATTCATATTCCTTTATGAAAATCGATTTGCCTAATTTACCTTTAAAAATACAATTCTACCATTGATACGTATCACTAGTTCCTAGTCAAAAAGCCAACTGAAAAGACTCGAATGCAAAATTATTTCCCATGTGAGTACGCACACTGCAACGCGCCAAAACGCGGGAGACGGAAAAAAGTTGCTAGAGAAGTCTTCCGACTTCTTGACGGAAATCCCGCGGCGCGCTTCTGCGCTGCGCGCTCTGATGTGCGTTGGGCCATTTAAATACATGGCAAGCAGACAAAAGAAATTTCCACATGGCGCCGCGCCGCGTCGCGCTGCGGTCTAGTGGGCGACAACCTCCTTTACCGTGCATAGAGAGAATCTCGGAGAGAATGCAATGTTGCCACTTCCTACCATACCCACATTCTAAATATTTATAAATTTACAGTAATTTTAATGGGCTGCAACATAGTGGTAATCATAATCATAATTTTTGTCTTAAGCATAAACACAGTCACAATCACAATAATTTTAATATGCGTTTATACAACATAGTCGCATTCATAACTTGGTATGTAAATACAGCTGATAAAGTAACCTTAAAATAACCCAACAGGTATGGTAGGCCATTATTAAGATTGGTAAAAAAAAGTTTTTTTAATTTCACTCAAAATGAGTTATTTGGGTCATAAATGACCTAAATACAAAATATTTTCATGGTGTCTGTCCGTCTGTAACACGATAACTAAAAAACCGCTAAACCGATTTTAACCAAATTTGGCACAAAAATACTGTGGCACCCGAGAATCTGGCAATTAGTTTTTGGTGGGGGTGGGGAGTTGGTAAGGGGGTATGGGAGAGGGTTAAAAATTTAAAAAAAATCATAACTCCAAAATTACAGTAGCTAGAGAAACGCGGTTTTCAATTTAATATCAGGAATAATATTTGCAACAAAATTTGTAATAACATCAAAATCAGTCAAAGTCGCAGTTTTTGAGATAAAAAAAAATTGGAAAAATTCCTTGTATTTGTGTAAACCATTTAATGCCGATTAAAAGTTGTATCTTGATATTTTATCATTTTGGATTTCCTTGATGAGATAAACGCAATTGAATTATCAGAATTAATAAAATAAAAATAAAAATAGAATTAATAAATTATTTATTTAAACTAATTTATTATTAAATTTTATTAAAATTTATAACACCACTGATATCTCTCCAAAAATTTTTTGGGGTATTTCTCCACTGCACTGCCAGAAAATCTACAAAATAAAATAGTTATTAGCCGACCATACCAATAGGTATGGTAGTATCCTATTCTTAAAACCAAACCAAACCAAACCATACCAATAGGTATGGTAGGCTATTAAGATCGGCAAAAAAGTTTTTTTAATTTCACTCAATGAGTTATTTGTGTCATAAATGACCTAAATACAAAATATTTTCATGCTGTCTGTCTGTCTGTCCGTCTGTAACACGATAACTCAAAAACCGCTAAACCGATTTTAACCAAATTTGGACAAAAATACTCTGGCACCCGAGAATCTGGCCATTAGTTTTTGGTGGGGGTGGGGGGTCGCTAAGGGGGTTTGCGAGGGGGTTAAAAATTTTAAAAAAATCGTAACTCCAAAACTACAGTACCTAGCGAAACGCGGTTAAGATTAGAAATAATATTTGCAACAAAATTTGTAATAACATCAAAATCAGTCAAAGTCGTAGTTTTTGAGATAAAAAAAAAATGGAAAAATTCCTTTGCTTTGAAACTAAAAGAACTGCCTACCAACTTTTTATTAACATATTTTAGTATGGGCGGCTATACGTGCCTCCCGGTGCAATTTTTTTTTTGTAAACACTTCTGCGTTAAACCTAAACGGACACTATTTTTTTTGGAGAGATGAATCCGCCACATTTTTTATCACTGATATGATGTTCTAATCCTACTTAAAGCAAATTTTAAAAAATACTGGTATTTAAGATAATTACAAAAGACCTATTTTTCAAAAGTTTTATCATCCTGTAACTTTAAAACTATGCATTTCCGCACCCATGTTTATATGAACTTTTTTTGATATTGTTTGATGAGGAATCAATGAGTACTTATTTAATACTTTACCAGTTAATGACATTAATTTTTTTAATGGTTACTTTCTATTAGACTTGGATTAAAGCATATTAATAAAATTGCGTATCTCTCACTCATAAAGACCGAAATTGACAAAATATCAAGAGACAACATTCAATCGGCATTAACGGGCCTACACAGGTTTGCTAACAAGAGAAAAAAAGTCAGTGGCGCACACATCCCTGGTGAATATGTAGACACTTTTTTAGCATTAAAACATGTCGTACTTGTAGTAATTTTCAGTGATGAAACGGATAGTTGTTTGGCCGGATACCGAATACCGGATATTCGGTGAGCTGAGAGGCCGGATTCATCCGATTGTTTCAGTGAAATCGCAGATGAAAATAATAGTCAATGTCGCGATCAATAGAAAAACCCAATTGTAGAAAAAGAGTTCGAATTGATCACAGCCGGGACCCTTACAGCTCACAGTTGGTGGTCGTATAACGCAAAAACTTTTCGAAAATATACCTTTCAGCTCCTTGCAGCATGTTTTAGTAAGAGGTTGTTTTCCGAAGCTGGTTTGGTTTACGAAAACAGGCAAAATCGCCTATTACCGACAAACGTTTTTTTGCCACTTATTAATTTTGACCATTAATTTTCTAAAATTCCCTTTGATAAAAGAAAAAGATAGTAAAGAGATATAGAGAGATAGACAGAACAAGATAGTAAATTTTAAGAATCTGTGTATTTTTTATGTTTTTTTTTTCGTTTATTATTAGTTATTTATGTCACTATATGAAGTTTTCATTTTTGTATTTTTCATTAAAGTGAATAATGAACATTTTTAGTTTTTTTTTTGAAGTTTTTATTATTTTCAGCTTTAAATAAAAGCAGTTTAAACTGTAAGTCATTTCTTGTTATGTTACTTTTTGAATATCCGGTATTCGGTCGGATATTGAGTTACTATTCGGTATCCGGCCGGGTAACAAATTTAGGGCGGATACCGGATAGTTGCCGGATATCCGTTTCATCTCTAGTAATTTTTACCCTCAATATATTTCATTCGAATCGATAAAAGCTTTTCGATAAAAATGTTTATTTAGGTATTAATTTAAAAGGATGAGTTTTTTGTTTTTCAATGCTTGTATTTAAGCAATACAATTATTGTATTGACAAATATAAATACATTTACTATGTTTTTCTCACCTGAGTTCATTTTAAATATAATAGCTTAGTTCCTAAAATAAAATTTGGGAGGCGTGTCAGCGGAAGTTAGTCTGTTACAGGTGCCAAAAAAATATTTTTCTTACAAAAAAGATCCAAGTCCAAAATAATTAAATATACATAAAACAAATATCAAAACAGCTTTAGTTGTTTTTTTTGGTTTTTAATTTATGAGTTTTAATTAAAAACGAGTGCAAGTTGTTTGTTCTTCATAACGACGCGAAATTCTGAGTAAAGTATAATGACTTGGAATTAAAATATAGCTTGTCCAATCTTAGTTATGATCTAAGGAATAATTTAAGTGAGTGATTTTAACAATATAAAGGCGGGCGAAAATAAGAGCCAAATTTTATATTTAACTTTCGCTAATATATTTTAATGAAATACGTATATAATTTAAACGATTATCTAACTTTATATTTTTATAATAAATCTGAAGTAAAAAGGCAGGCTTTCTGGCACGTTGCTATAAATCTTAAAAAAGTTTAAACTAGATTTTATAGAGGGTTTTTTTTTAAATAGAAATCAA